TAGATAACCAAAAGTTGTACATGTGGCTAGTTGTACCCTCATTGTAACTGAAACTTAACTTCTAATAAAAAGTTATGGCCAAAGAGGTCATCTTAATACAGAAAAAAAAAAAAATCAATAGAAATAGTCGATTGGTCACTCCTTTCATTAGTGTTACCAAAAGTGTTTTCTTTGTAATATTCTTAGAATGTGAGTCAGATAAATCAAGTGATTCAAGTTTTGTATAGTATGAATCTAAATAGAAAAATAAAGTTCCAGAATACAAATTTAATAAGAATAATTTTAATGCTTATAATATTATTAATGAAACCAGATGACAAATTAAAATAACTGAAGAAAAATTCAAACCGCCTAGATGTTTATATGATCTGGCTGGAAATGCTTATTTTCAAGAACAAAATACAAAACCAAATCTTCAGAAATATATTTCTAAGACTATAAGAGAAGAAGTTGGCCCTATTAAAGATATATTTGATTATTACTATAAGGAAGAAAGTAGTAAAAACAATAGTTATAAAATAGGTAATCTTGAAGAAGAACAATATAAACAGATTAAAAATTTTTTAAAACAACATTCGAGTTCATTTGCTTGAGAAAGTAATAAATTAGGATATACTAATATAATTAAACATAGCATAAGTACAGGCAATATCTTATTCATTAATCACACCCATATCGACATTTGCTTGCTGAAAAGAAAATTATTAAAAATAAAATTGACCAAATGTTAAAGAAAGGTTTTATTCAACCTTGTAAAAGCTCTTGGATATCTCTAGTAGTGTTAATACCTAAACCTGATAGGCAAACCAGGTTTTGTATAGATTACCAAAAACCCAATTAGTAACTCAGAAAGATAGTTACTTACCTCTTATCCTGAATACAAGATCTTTTGGATACTTTAAATACAGTAGATCATTCTAGTATAGTTTGCTTGACCTTGCTAGTAGGTACTGGCAGGTTAAGGTAGAGAAAATTAAAACTGCTTTTACCACTCCCTTTGGTGTATATATGTTCTATGTTATGCTCTTTGAATTAACAATTGCCTCAGCTACCTTTCAACATCTCATAGATTATCTTTTTCAAGACCTAATAGGAGAGTATATCATTGTATACTTAGACAATATTAATGTATATTAAAAATCTGTT